ACATAGGGTGGCATTAAAGTTATTGCAGCAGAGATCATTGGATGCAGCTAAGGATAATGGAAAAAGTCTTCTGCTAATGATTTTAAATGTCCCCAACCCATCCCTAATGTTCATCCAACTCTGCTCAAGAGGTTAACATGGTTATACTGTAAATATGAATCTCACACAGAAATTAAAAACATGAAACGAGGCTAAAGATACAGTATCTGCCTCACAGAATGAAAGTCTTTTTGACACATTTTGAAGCATTACTAACCTGCCAGACTTATGTTTGGTGCTGTAGAACGTATAACTTATTAATATACTATTTCTTATTCCTCGCTTTCATTCAGAATATCAGAATTATATATAAAACTATTTCTAAAACGGAACACTGCATTGAAGATTACACAGTGAAAGTGATCACAAACCGAATCTTACTCGTTTTTTTCACACAATTTGTGGTTTCAGACGAGTTTTGTATCGTGCCATTGAGGCCTTACTGTTATACTGAAATGCCTTAAACATTTTGGGGCCCTTTATTTCAAGTTGTAAAGAGGGAATTTTGAAAATGTTACAGGGCAGAGTGGTGGTGCAGTGATTAGCATTGAAGCCTTGTGGTGCTGGGACGCTGGGTTCAGGTTCTGGTGTGCTATCTATGTGGAGTTTGCATGTTGGATTTACTCCAGAGAAATGAGGGGACTTGGATTTTTTACAAGCAAAGCAAAAAGAAATGTGTGTATTTCAAATTCGTGAACTACAAAGTTTCTTACTAGCAGTTAAATATGTGTAACTGAGCAAATAGTTAAATAACTGTGAATCAGTGACTGGGGAACAAGCAGAAGGTTCTTGTTCTAAGATCTTTAATGAGAAACATGCTGTATTAAAAAGGAGTAAAGAAACATAACTATTTGTTAGATCTTTTTTCACTTCATGCATGAGACATTTAAGAAATATTTTGAAATCCATAAAGCTAGCAGAAGCCACACATTTACAAATGTTTCACAATATGTAACATTATGATACATTTAGGAAACAAACCTAACATTATTTGGATAAATTTAAAACATATATTAGGAGTAGATTCACAAAATAGTTTTTGTTGTAAATACATTTTCTTCTCAGTAATACAGACTATAGGACCTATATGCCCTAATACTGCGGGCCCTATTTAATTTATACATATTTTGAGCTGAATAGTATGCAGTTCAATTTGCTCTGTTATATATGTAGAAGAATGGTTTAAAGAAAGTTTTCTTCAGTAATGTTTAGCATAATGCAATTGAAAGAAAACGTAACTGATTTCAGGAGGTGAAAGCATGTGTCTGAAAAAGAGAATGGTGTATTTCAATGGAATATGTATATATTTATTGTTTTTTACTATGGGGTAGAGAAAAAAAAAAGTAAAACTTCCATTGCTGATTTTGTGGATATGTGAGTGTGCCTCTGCCAAAACTATCACGCTGATCACGGTACAGGGCCAGGTCTGCTTGTTCACAAGAGAATTTCACACTTCAGGGACTGAACATTGACTCCAGGGGTTAACTTCAAGATCAAGAGCAACACAAGGACAGAGGACATGAGATCACCTAAAAGGGAGTTTCCTTGGGACTGAAAACTTAAATGATAAAGACTAATCAATGGCTAATGATAAATTAACTGTTAACTGCTTATAATAATTAAGCACAGGACTAAAACACAGCACTTTATATTAAGGTGGGTAGCTGCGTCAGCATGCGTAGGCTGCAAAGGAACAAGTAATAGGTTTATTCCATGTTGAAAGAAAGAAGAAAGAGAACACAACGTTTCGGCCGTGGAGCCTTCTTCAGGTGCTTCAGGAGCTTCTTCAGCCTTTATATTAAGCTGTGTAGAAGGTATGTCAGCTCAGTATTTCACAATAGCAAGGAAAGCGAAGTAAAAAGTTTAGAAAGCAAGTACATTTTCTCCTAGGAAGATTGTTCTGTTTCCATGTGATACACTGAATGTGACATTCTGTTAGAGTACTGGTTTCTGCTCTCTAGAGACTTTTTCTTGCCTTTCACCGTGTGCAAGTCTGCCACAGTGCTGCGTTACAGGCAACAAATGGCCATACACTGAATTTCAAATAGTGTCTGCAGATATGATATAAAAAACTAGACCTGTAAACTATTACTTTCCTCAAATAGAAGTCTAAGTCTTGTAGATATTATGCACTGTATTTTTACACTATAAAATCTTGCTACGGTGCTCACAATATAAAGTGATGTATTACAGCAGGGAAGTATAGTACTGTATGTTTCTCCTTTGTTTCAGTTACTGTCATTTGCACAACTACTTAAACAATGTTCCTCAATTTGTTAGAAATAAGTGACGTTTTAATAAGGTAAAATGAAGTAGGAATGCATCTAGAATTCCTACAGCGTATAGAAAATCTACTGTATAATAAAGCACTGAATAGAAATATGATAGCACACATTTCAAGACAAAGGCTTGGATGTAATGATGGAACTGTAAGGTTGTACAATGCCCGTTACCTGAAAAAGATAACGAAATCAGAAGTTCTATACATTTTTGTATAAAGTTGTCTGGCCGTCCTTTCTAAGGTACAAATCTCTGATTTGTCACAAAAACTAATGGTTATTTATTTTTGGTGTAAGAGATGCAAGCATGCAGGCTCGGAATGTGGAACTGAATGAGACAGGATTCCAGCATATCATCGTGTAGCTTCAGTCAGGATTCAGTTTTGTTTCAGGGGTAGACGACAATGACCTATAGTCTCTACCAAGTAGCATGATTTATAACTCCCACTTTAATGAATGCCATAAAACGTCATTTCTAGGTGATGGGAGGGCTCAGTAAAATGTGTTTATGTGGGTTTTAAAGGAAACAGGAAAGTGCAATAGACATGTATAATGAAAAATGGGAAAAAGACTTGCTTTTGGAATTAAAAGCTGCCCACTTCTGCTTTGAATTTTAAATTAAATACCAATGTCTTTAAAATATTACTAGTTCATACTAGTCTGTACACACCAAAAAAGTGTCAAACATAAAAATAGATTCTACTAATTTTTAACGCAGAAAGACAGATTACATTACTAGGGAGAATTTGCGAAGAGGATATTAGAAATTATTTCCTAATTCGCTCAATGTTTTCAAATCTGGTGGATTTTTGTGGGTCCTTACAAGTATAGAAAACTGCATCTTACAGTCTTTTTCATACATCATCTTCATTGCTGATCATCTGTTACTGAAGCACTTCCACTAGAATTTCAATGCAATAAAAAATCTTATTGAAGAAACCCTTCATATTTTAATGGCATACTGTTCTGCAAAGAAACGTATTTTCTTCCAATCTACACTTGGAATGGACATGCACACTAATATCAATTCATCCATCCATTTTCTTACTACTGCATCCAATTCAGGGTTGCAGGGGGGTCGGAGCCTATCGCAGCAAGCATCAGGCACAAGGCAGAGTACACTCTGGATGGGATGTCTGTCTGTCATAGGGCAGATACGCAAATATGCATACGCTCACATCAGGGCCAGTTTCCATAGAAGCCAAATAAACAATAACAATATTAAAAATAATAATTCCTTACACTTATATACGGTGGACTCTGGAATTATTTGCACCCAATAATGAAGAAAACAATCATAATAAAATAAACCACATAGATAATGACAGATATTTAATACTCATATGTTAGGGGGGACACTTGTCACATTTTTTTCTAAAACATTTTTTTCATTTCAAAGTTTAACTGTAAACACGTAATACAGTTTTACCTGAAAAACACAGATGAGAAACTTATTGGCACCCTTCAAGATGCCCTCAAACACAATCAAACACATCTGAACCACATCTGTGTGTACACCGCACATCAGATAACCCAATAAACCTATCAGTATGTTGTTGGACTGTGGGAGCAAACCAGAGGAAACCATGTAGACATGAAGAGAATGTACAAATATCATTGTGGATAGTATACCGGTCCAAAATTAAACCCAGGATCCCAGCTCTGCAACACAGCTATGCTTACCACTGTGCCACCCTTGCTCATTAACAATAATTATTAAAACAAGCAGTTTTCAAGTGGAAGCTTTGGAATGACAATAGATAGCTTCACAAATGTTCTGGAATCAACCACTGTAGGTACTGACAGGACACTGAATCTGTGACCTAATTTTCATACTATTGTGTTTTGTGTTCAGTGTGTGGGTTTTCCAGGTAACTGAAACACCACTTCAAGAACTGGAGGAAGCTGTTAACTTGATCCAATTAAGCCAATAATGAACCAACTGGGGGTGTTACAAGCCTAGCTGGAGTGAACATTTATAGACAAATCGGCCCTCCAGCTTCGGGACCCTGCTGTAAGGCAAGTTTATGCAGTTAAGACTCTGCCAGGAGTCTGGAATCCTGATAATGTCTGTCCCCATAGTTCAAGTCCCAGTATAATCACAGCTATTCTATGACTTCTAACTGCGTGTCTTTAGACCAGACAACATTTGCATATGCATTTTATAATTAGATGATCTTGCCACTTTAAAATTGAGTAGAGCTGTGTGTTTGTATCTCAAAGGGATAATAGCTATTATTGGCAGTTAATAAATAAATGTCAAGAAAACTACAACATTCTGGTCATTGAAACTGTAAAAAAAGATAAAAGGGTATCCCATTTATTTTCTGTTCTGATTGTCAGCTATAAAGGCCTGACCTCGAATTATCTGACTCAGCTGTTTGTATGTATCCTTTTTAATTCCGACGATCTGTAGTTCTCAGTTGTAGCTGTCTTATAAGAAGGGAGGGGAATACACCTCGCATGTATGGGTGTAGGCTTTCAGTTCTTTAAAATCGTTGACTGCATTTTGTTTTGCAATTGGACACAGTGTGGTGATGATGAGGCTTTTCTGCGCACTGCTAACAAATCAGACTCTTCCGGCACACATTTTCACATTTTTAATAATGACAAAAATACAAACAAAAGACATCTGAAAATCTTCGAGTGAAGCCTAAAGAAACGAACAAACAGCTTAAAAAGGAAAAAAACAATCACAAATAGGAAATACTTGCAATAAAATATCTAAATTGATAAAAGTAGAACGATTCGTTTCCAGAAGAGTGGAGGTGACAGAATTTTCAGATACTAAAGAAAGCGATAGCAGATTTTATTTATCTAAACTTAATTACATAATAAAAAATGTCACAATACAGAGTATATGTGATTTGAGCCTTCTCCGCTTAACATAGCCTTTAAACTTGAAAATCCGACGCAATGCAGGAGCTGAGGCTCCACATTTTTCACATTCTCGTCGCACCATCACCTACAAGATATTAACTGCACAAACTATACACGATTTTCGTTAATATAAGGATGTGTTAAACCGGTAAGAAATAACGAAATATTCAGTCTTTTCGCAGTCTCTTCTTGTAACGTTTTGAACACAATATGCAAGACAATTACTTAATATTCTTAATTTTATTGATTTTTGTGCGTGAATTTGCATTGACACCAATAATGAGATGAAGAAAACACCCAGAGGGGGAAAAAAAAAAACAATCGTAAATATACTAGAGACCATCAGGAATTTTACTTACAAAACATGGTATCCTCCGCAAGCAATACACGTCTGATCTACAGAGAAAAGAGTTAACGAAGGCTTTCCTTCCCAAGGTTCAACATTAAAGGCACATCTCTCCAGCACCGGTGGCTGTTCACCACAGAACACAGAAGACACGAAGCTTCCAAAGGAAAGACCAGAAATAAAGAAATGTACATGTTTAAATCTCGTGCTCTCTGCTGCTGTCATCTGGGCTACAGGAACGGGACGCGCACAGAATGTAAGTGAACGATCCAGTTTACATCCCACGCTTCGTGTTTTAAAGATGGATCTAATTCTGGAAGTTAAACCCCTTCAACGAAAAAAAAAACACCGCCGATTGTTTCTTAATCCGACAATACTATCTCCTTCATCGTCCACCTTCCACCCCACTGCTCTTCCAGCGTCTATTCTACCACAGCTCCTCAGGAAGCAGCACCGGGCGCCGGCGATGGCGCTGAGGGTCGCTGTGGGGTCAGAGGGTAAAGGTCGTTCACCCAGCATCCTCGGCTGTAGATACACAGCCATCTTGGATCTGCGAGGAGAAGAGAAATTAATGCGGTGAGTGTTTTTTTCTCTGATTTATTTCTACAATATCTCGTTTTGACCACCGGGGAACCGGCGCAACCCGGTCCAGAACCTTTTCTGATCACGGCCGTGCCGGTTCGGGAGGGATCCGAGCCGGCTGGCGGGGTTCACTCCGAGCGGGTTTCTTTCTCGCTGCTGGTTTTTGTCTGGGGCTGTATAAATCGAGAGGGACGGATAGGGAGCCGAGGGAAGGCGACAGAGCAGGCCCAACCCCGCACAGCAGCCCCCTTCTTTATGGTACTACAGTGTGTGAATAAAATACTACAGAGCCACATATGACCGGTAAAACACCCCGAGCGGGCCTACAGCAGGACATATTATTCCCAAACAAAGCGCTTAGCAAATCGAAACGGAGGCTGTAGATTCCACATCAAACACCCCCCTGGATTCCACATATTTATAAAAATCGCATAGGTTATCCTGAGAGTTACGGTTTGCACCGTGTTTTATCCCCATCGCAGGCTTGAGATTATATTGTTTCGTAAAGTTCAAGTGGCCGATCTTTTTTACCGTGCAAGTTCAGGTGGATGTGGAAAATACATTTATTGCAAAGCTAGGATGCCTTATTAAAAATGCGGCTGCCCGTTGCCGGAAGCGATCGGTGAATGTGTGAAGTTTTGTACCCCCCCCCATAGTTTCGGTGCTTCGTTGTCCTTAATTTGGATTTTTTTTTATAAGCTGGGGTTTCGCTTTTATTTGTGAAACTGAAATAGCCTGGTACCGAGTTCTGTGTTTTGCTCCCATAATCCCGGAGCCCTGTTATTCTACTGCTGGAAAAATAAAACCTTAACGATGTGCATTGTGCTTAACGATATAAGAGATGTTGCAAGGCTTTATGCACAACTTTCTTCATTTGTTGCTGAAAGTTGGATCGGTATTTTTGCACGTAGCCCCGGGATACAGTTTCGGCGCTCAACGAGAGGACGAAAATCCACTGCCGTTATGTTACAGTACTGTAGCTGTACGAGCGCTGTGGGCCGGAACACACGTATACGCTGTGTTAGCGCCGGTTTTCGGGGAATACTAGGAGTTTGTTAAACATTTAGAATAACCTGTTCTTCAAGACTTTCTAACACTATTAAAGCATACATGGGCATATTAAATCTATTTTGAAGTATGTCGGTCGTTCTACAGCAAACAGTTTTAAGCACCCCCCTCAAACGTAGCTTCACTTCCTTTTTTATTTCACATTTTTGAATTCGTGGTTTGAAGGAGAGTGCAGGACCGAGCTACTGACTGCAGGTTACGAGAGAGTGCCGTTATTCATCCATACATAGAGCATTGCTTCTTTTATTGTACCGTGACAGTTCGAATGGTGGTTGATTTCCAGTTTTGAAAGCTATATACGTGTCGGCTCAGGAGCACGTGACCGGTTTAACGCGCTGTTACGGAGTGGGCTCAGGTGATTCACTTTTCGGCTTGCTGCGATTTGCACTTTTTGCATTGTTACAGTTCGTGAGATTTTAGTTTTCATAACTAGTGGCGGCCTGGAATGTCTGGGCAGCCTGAGAATTTAAGGACCCTCTGGGTTTCCTTCCGATGGCTACCAATCTATAATGTTTTTTTTTTTCTGTATAGAGAATGGAGGGAAATGATCAAATCCGAGGAGTTATTACGATTTTTTACTCTTGTGAATTATTAAAATGTGAGCGCCCTCCCAAGCATTCCCAAGCGGTCTCAACAGTTTTGGAAAGATAGCTTTGGACGTTTTAAGCGGTATATTTCGATATAGAATATTCTACGTCATATTTGTTCTTGCTTTTGAGTTTCCGCACTGAAAGGTATCATTAGGTTTTCATTTGAAAAATGATAGTATAAAAAAGCATTTTAGGTGTAGTTGTAAACATTTTATATTTTGTTTCATAATGTAACTGCACTTATTATCTAGTGTAAGGTAATATGACTAAACTATTAATGACAAAAGCCTGAGAACAACACTCAATAGAATTACACAAATGTAATTTCTAAATATTTAGGAAATATTTTGTGAAACGTTAAAGTTCTGTATTTATTTTGTGGGGTTCTGCATTCAATATTGGGTCTGCTTTTCGTTACAACTTTTCGTTATATTAAGGAAAAATACAAAACCTCTGAGGTTTTTTGTTGGTCTGCAAGTTTTGTGAATGAACATATCTGTTGATGTTTGTGGTGTTTGGTTGCTTTCCCCAGTGAATAAATAATTGTAGTCTTAATGTTAGTTTCACCATATTTTGCAAAAATAAATCTATTTTGTCATAGTGACATCTATGGTGTGTGCCTGAGTTTAGGTTTTGTGCTCCTTCATGGTCAGAAAAGTGTAACCAGTCTGTTTTTACTTCATTGTTTCACAAACACATTTAGTTCTTTGCTTGGCACAACCCCTTAAGGGTTGAAACCTTTTTGGAATAATAGGGCATTTTGCACTACAATGTCAAACATTATGGAGCAAATTAGCTGAGTTTAGTTTTCCCATTCCAACATGGGATGAATTGAAGGGTTAGAAGAGGAGGGTATAGTTTAGACTCATTATTGCCATTTCCCTTAAACCACAGTTTGAATTTTCACTGAGCCTGCATGTAGGTGGACACAACATGTGGTGTTCATCCTTGATGAGATTGGCTTTCCCATAATAAGGTGACTATTAGCACTTTTGAGATGAGATAACACTTCACTTCTGTGCTGGCAGACAAGCAGATTTAATAATAAAGGTAAAAGTGAGAATTTAGTGAAAGCTGTAGTAATCTCCACTCCAGAATGGAGTTTTAGTTTTGATAGGTCCATCAAGTAGGCTGTTTGAGGAGTTCATTTCCAGTTTTAGGTGGTGGTCTTAATGGCACTGTTTGGTTCCTTAGTCAAGTGACCCACAAACCTATTCTTTTTTTCCCATCTTTAGGTGAAGAAGGGCGTAAAGTCTTTTTTTCTGAGTGCAGTTAAACTTTTTCCAAAATTATACACAGTATTCTACATAAGGTCTGGATAGAAAGGTGTAGTATTTTACAGTAATCTTATACCTGGTTTTAAATTATACACATATCTATGTATGTTTACGTACAGTTTCCTTTTTATTGCTTCTACACAGTGGCTGAAAGTTGAAAATGATCAGAAGACGCATCTAAATGTTTTTCAACAGTAGCTTTTTCAAGATTAGTATGTCTCCTAGTTTGGTTTTGCATGTAATACTCTCCACTTGCCATCATGAAAATGTGATCTGCGAATCTGAATAGTGTACTTACTATCCAAATATTCAGATTTTAATATAAATTAGGAGGAACAGTGATCCTAATGCAGATCTCTGTGGTACTAAATCACACCAATTTGACCATTCATCCCCTATTTAGTGTTTTCCAGCCATTGGTCTTTTGTCAGTCCCTACATCACCTTGAATGTCTGCCTCCTACAATTTAAGAATTCATCTTTCATGATAGCAGTTATTGAACATACCATATCATATGTTCTGTTTGTATCCATTACTGGTGCTGTTTAAGGAATTCTGGCAGGTTAGTTATGCATTCCCTGAAGTTGGTTATCTCCTGGAGCCCGCTTATTATAAATGATCCCCAGGTTGAGCTCTAATTATTGTTTCCATAATCTTGCATGCAATCAGCCTGTCTGTCACCATCTCGCATCTCAACAGCTCAGTCTGAAATACGTTTATCCCCAAATTACAATGAAAGCTTTTCCATCTGGCTTTTTCCTAACCGGGTTTCTCTGCTAACCGGCATTTTCTCCCTAAGCCAATTCAAAATCATCCGTTACTGGCCGGGAGAATTCCTGTTTCTGCCCATCTTGCGTCCTCTGCCCTCATGTGTTAAATTCCGTTACTGTGCAGGAAAACCATGGTTCAGATGTGGTGCATCTTCTTTTCCTAGCTTCATCTCCAAATATTTCCACCTTCCGAGGTTCTCTGTGCGGCCTCAGTCTTCCGCATTGCCTCGCGTGCGGATCTTCTCTTGTGTGTGCGTTGTCTGGAATTTTTCTTCTGGCTTTACAGTGTTATCCTTTTAGTCATGGCTGAAATATGTCCTAGTGATGTGAAAATTAAGCCAACATGAGGAATTAAGGTTCTGGGATGCCTAACTGTCTGGAATGGTTCTTGCTTGATTTAGGTTTATCAAAGTCCTGGACACTTTAATAATGTAATAGTATACTGTTAGCACTACAGTAAGGTAATAGCAGTTGCATGTGTGGATGTACTGTAGAGCAGTGCTGACTCTTGTAACTTTCAGCTTGTGTATGTTTGTACAGTGCATTCTGAAACATTAGTATTAGTGTTATCACCTTCTTAAATCTTGCTTAACTGGCATTCCTGGGAAATGACCAGTGCCAAATAGTAAAGCTTTTACTGTGGTCACTAAAACTCAGCAAACTCACCTGTGTATAAAGGGCTGTTAAATGCCAACAGTGCAACTTCACTTTTAGGCATTTTGGGAATCTTTGACAAATGCTGAAAATAAAAACTTTGGCAAGAAGTTGCCTTCACTTAAAATGTCCTCTCATTTTCCCCTGTAACTTCTTCCTTTTAATATTACAAATACAAACGTACCATGCAGTTAGCAATTGCACATCTGAGCATTTTAAAACTGAGCATGAAAATCAAACCCTTGTCTCTCCCTTGCGATGTTAAGACCGCGCTCGTATTGAACTGAAGTGTCAAATCTCAAAGAAACCATTTTAATATTTTGTACTTGTCTATCGCTTGTGGGTATTTTTTTACTGTACACCAAACATTTCTGCTGTATTGAGTAAAAATTTGATCCCGTTCTCTTCTGCTTAAATGTAAGGAGTTGTAAAATATTTGTTTTTTCTCCTGACACAAGGGGCAGAAAGAAGCTTTACTGTTGTTTTGGCCACAATTTGAAAACTCTATCCTTTGCTTTTCTTACTTGTCCAGAAGCAAGGGCGCAGTAAGCTATTCCTTTGTCCTCGTGCCAGGTGAGGTTTGGAGAACAGTTGTATAGTACCACAAGGAAAATGCCCATTGAGTTATTCACCAT